CCATGGGCGTTTTACACAAACTTCCAGTAGTGTGGCAGACAGCGACGACCACACTGCCACGCTAGATAGAGAGGGCAATGAGCTCTAGGGATGCGGAGACCAAGCATACGCCGGGGGCAGGTCGCGCGGGCGCTTCCCACTCGCTATGTCGCTGGCATTCGCGGCTGAATTTCTGGAGGTATGAAATGCTTTGGAGAGACCCGAGATATCGTGGCGCCAGGCCGGTAGTCAGAAGCAACGCAGCACAGGCGCTTTTCGATTTCCGGCCGGTGCGAGAGGTCCAACCCAGTAACTCCCGTAAAAATGTTTGCACAGAGGAAGAAACCTACAATAATGTGTCGTGAAAGTATTGCCTGGTTGAAAGGGTCCAAGCTTGGCTCAAACATTGGAACCACACCACGGAAACGAGACAGTCTTGAAACATGGACGAGACGAACACACTTGCCTCTGTCGCTTCCGTAAGCCTCGACAGGACGCGAAGTGCTAGTAAGTGACATCTCATTTTTTGACCACCCACCGGGCCGTAGGATGGAAGACGAGCCGAGCGCAGACGCCGAAAGATCGTGTGGACGAGGTCTCTAAGGTCTTCCTCCTGGCACGGGAGGCTCGCCGACGCTTCATCAGTTTGAGGGGGCTGAAGAAAACAACAGAGAACGCAGACAGACCTAAATACTCGACAGGTGTCGGCGACGCCGCATGGGCGGCAAGGGTACAAAGTTCAACCTGCTCTCTATGGTTGTTTCATGTACCGACTTCCCCACTACGCGCCAATGCGGGCATGTCGCTGTCACATCTTACAAACGAAAAAATGTAAGTGATCTCGTTCACAGCAGTCTAGCAATGAAGGTCGTCGTTCCCCCTTAGAGGTTACCACGCCATGCCATCGCGCTCCCGACTGTTGAATGAACGCTGTCGTTGTCGTTCAAGAGTCTGAGTGACCCTGGCGTGACTCTTTGTTCATCTCCTTCTTCGTCAACCCTCGCGAACAACGGAGGTGGCCGCCACGCATGCTGGGATCAGGGCGCGGCAGCGGACCGTATCTTACTGGTGACGACGCCCCGGGACGTGGACGTGCGCACCGCCAGGCATCACCATTCTCTGTCTCCTTTGCTGGAGCGAGAGATTTGGAGGACGAACCTCCCTCCCCGTCACCACTACCACCGGCGCCGTTCGGTACCCCCGTCTTTGCCCTTCTGATGGGCCCCAGAGAGGTTCTGACGCCATTGTCGATGCTGCTGCTCGTTGCCGCGGATGTTGGACTCCACCAACTTTTCGGTCAGCTTGGGTGGTCGTTTCCGTCTTGCGTCGCTGGCATGGTGGGGCTGTTTGCAGGTGTGGAGTTTTGGGACGCGACAAGGGGGGGCGTAGAGAGACGAAAATAGTGGAGTGAGGATATTCCGCGGATTTCAAGACACCGCCGGGTAACACGGGAGAAACTGCCGGATATCAGCTCGAACCGCCGGGTATCACACGCACCCTTGTCAGCAAACTCGATGCGATGGTCATGTACAGATATCACCCGTAAGGCTGCAGGATTCAAGGGACCTTTCCCTTTCTTGTTTTAAGATGGCAGTATGCTGCACGCGTCCACCCTTCTTGTCTTGCAATAGGATCCCGTGGCGGATTTGGGGGTTAGAACAACAAACTATGGTGTTTCACATCAAAACTAAGCGACTCGGAACGAAAGTCGGGCGCGCCCATACGGGTGCTGTCGAGAACCGGTCCAATGAACGAAGACTGTTTCGATGACTTTTCTGCAGGTTGCTCTTGTTGGGGCCATTTTGTCGCAACAGCAGCGCCAAAACTTTACGTATCACGTTCGACTGACATCAACACTCAAACAGGAGGGACGCCCGTTCCTTTTGACCTTGCCCTCGGCTCGTTGCATCCAACTATTTACTGTGGTCGAGGTTTTCTGTTTTGTGCAAAATTCGCTGTTGTATACCTCACGTTAACACCGTGACGTGCCGTTTCGATCCAGGGTTTGTTGATCTCGATTGCATAGCTCCTTCGTACGCCGAGAGGATGGTTCACGTGCTAGAAACAGAGTCTGCGGAGTTCTCGAGATGGCTACCCGTGGTCTTGGTCCCTTCTCTCGTCCCGTGGATTTGTTTCCCGCTGGCGAGCTTAACGGGGTCGTCAGCGTCTCTGGCCGAAGTGGTGGTGACGGCAGCAAAGGCTGCGACGAGACATTCGGCTGGGCAGGTTTCGAAAGACTACGCATATTCACGGTTTCTCGCGGGGGGTAGACCAACCGGGTCGAGACTCCGAGCAGTCACGAATGAAGGTTTTGATGACAGGCGCTGGGGGCTGGCTTACGCACTTTAGCTCCACCACTGTCGTGGTTGCCGACCTCTCCTGGCTATCGTCACCATCGTCGCCGTCATCATTGTCTACTTCTATCACCCTTGACGCTGCTGCTACCCCTGCGGTGTCGTCTACGTTACCCACGGAAAGCGTGAGACGACCAACACCTGGAGGGTTATTCGGCGCGCGGCTCGTTAGTGGCTGGGCATTGGGACGGTGGCGTCGCGAGCGGCATCGGCCACAATCATTGCGCTCTTCAATTCACTGGCGATGTTGTTGTTCTCCTCGGAGCCGTTTTCGTGGTCCGGCATCTTGCTGGTCATTTTCCTTGGTCCTGCCTTGGTCAGCGCAAATGCGTCCATGGGTCTGGCGACGCGATTCGGTTATTCGGCAGGGCACGTCGCTGTCTCGCCTAGTGGCGCGCTTGGTTTTCATCGTTTTACTATGCCGTGGAAGGCTGCGCTGCGTCCGCGGGCGACGAGCATGGCAGCTACCGTCGTCACGGGCGCCAGCATAGCTGCACTATCCACCGATTTCCTTGATGTGGGATGTGTACTTTCTCCTATATGGGTGAGCGACAGAGATGGGGTACATCACGACATGGCGGGGCACTTGAGGGTGAACAGTTTGCCCACGACTTCCGACAGTTAGCTAGCCACGCGCATACTTGACCGATGTATAGATTGTGTGTGATGGTGATAAATGTGTTTTGAGTGAACTGGGTTAGTGCTGGTTTTCGGAGGGCATGGGCACGTTACTCTCGCGTGGTAAAATAGGACGAGCGGTTGCGAGGGCAAGTAAGTGGGCAGCGGAAGGGGTACCTCGTCGCATGTTTGGGTTACCTGATCTTTTGTCATTGCTGATGGTTCTCAGTTTGAACTAGACGAACTGTTGGGACATAGTATTTCGTAACACGCGCTGGTCACCTCTCACTGCCCCCCCCCGGCAGCGATTGCTCCCTTTAACCTCGTCGAGACTTCACGGAACCCAACCGGCAACCCACCTGTCCTTGATGGGTGATACTGGAATCACACCAATGGTGCACATGTTCACAACCTTGCTCTCCTTGCATCCGCACTGACTCTAGGCCTGAGATTGGAGCCGGCAACGTCTGTACAGGTTTCTGGGGCCTGCAGTGGTCTCATTCGCTGCGCCGCCGTGTAGGTGAGAACCCATGCATCATCTCCCTTTCCCTGTTTTTTTCGTTGCTGTGCAACCAGTTGCGCACGAACGACGGCCTTCAGTGGGCTACCGCGTAGACTAGTCATGCAGGCTTTGAACATTTTCAGTTGGCGAATACGTGTCACCTCGGCCAATTCCAATGGGACTTAATACATCGATGCTCTCGTTTTCCACACTGTTGCCTTGGGCAACTTGCCATCCGTCGGTCAGTTGGCATGACTATGTTGTTGTACTCCAAGGTGAAGGCCGGGTGCAAAACAAGTTCGTCGCCCTCGTATGCATGAGGTATCCCGTTCTAGTATTCAGAACTCTGAGGTATTCTCAATAAGGTCTCAGCTTATGCATTCGCAACCCAATAACAAAGTATTGACTTGTGAGGGCAATCTAACCATGCGACTTGCCACGACGATGACGACCTGCCTATTGCCCCCTCCACCTGCTGTATATCATGCTTTGCCTTTTTTTTTTTGTTGCCTTCCGACAATTGCAGATGTACCTCAGAAAACTTTCACTTAATGTCTCATACTCTACATGAATATTAAACCAATACGAAGTACAACAACATATGTAGGACTTATTCCTACTGTCACTTACATCGTAGAAATATCTCCTCTTCAATTTGAAATAAAACCAATGACAATCCACATGGTATCCTACATGCTTTGCCTTTCCAAAGGATGCGTGGGTTCATTTTGGGTAACGCGAGACCGGTGCTGGCGGGTGCCATATTCTGCGCTGCGACGTCGCTCTTCGGTATCTCCCTGGTGTCCAGGAAGTCACCGTATCGCTAGTTTCTGCGGTAACTCCGCTTATCCATGGGCGGAAACCCTCAGCAAATCAACCCGCGATTGCGAAGCATCAGCACGAGCTGATCAATGATGTACGGCAGGCAATAGTGTTATGAGTTTCGATGAGGCTTGAAGGATGTACTCGTAGCAAAATCGTATACGCAGGGATTGTGTTTCGGGGGGGATTGGTTAATTGTCGATGTTTAAGGGGTTTCGCACGACATGATGGCATTGGTATGGGAGAATGGATTCTATGGTGTGGAATTCCGAGTCTGGGTTTCCCCACATTCGAATGTGCACATTGCGTGTCTTTGTTTCCAATCTTCTTTCTGTCTGTCACCAGCAACATCATCCACACAACGTTGATGCCATGACTGCCGGCAACGATAGGTGTATACATGATGTGTTACGGCCTCATCTCCCGCACGAAAGCTTCCACGCAGGCTTTCCCAGAGCCCCCCCAGTTTGTCCGATCGGAGCATCAACACCCATGTATTGCTGTGTAGTGGTCGCCCCACGCTCGCCAGCGAACCCGTGTCAGGTACGTCGAGGTTACTGCTCTTCACTCCTTACCGACACGAGGGAATTCGCTGTGCACACGGCCCAAACAATGCGAGTGCAGGCTATTCGGTGTTCCCAAGGCTTTCCAGGTGGCATTTCGGGCCGAGGCACCACCGTCACGAGTCTCCAAGGTTCGGAAGGCCCTGCGCGTTTTGTTCACAGGCCCCGACAGGGAAAATGCCTTTCCGTGGCGTCTGCGCTAGGCGTCTACAAGACTCCGGCGATCGCTGGCGTGCTGGTCTTGACAGGAGTACTCGGGACTTGCTTCGGCCCTTGGGTGCTGGATGCGCTAGGGTGAGTTAGTTCGACACCTCACCAACGGAGCTAGCTTCAGGAACCACTTGGAAGGGTGTAGTCGAAACTGATGGACAAAGGATTCGTTGGGGTACATACAACCGGTCGCCCCGGTGGTCTAGTGGGTAGCCTCGCAGCCTTCTAAGGGCCAGGTCATGGGTTCGAGCCCCGGCAGAGAGAGTTTTCTTTCTCACTGAATAAATCCTGGTCTAGGATGAAAGCGACGCGCTGCAGAGCTCGTTTGTTAGTAAACCATAATCGNGATCAGAATGCGGAGGTTAGCGGAGGAAATAGAGTTGGATTGGTTGTTGAATGAAATTGACCAGGAAACATGTCGCCATTTCTATAGCACCACATCGTCGTAGCAGACGAAGCCGACATTACAACACGAGGTCGAATAGGTGTAAAAGGTTTCACGAGGTAGCTGTGCTTCGCCGTAGTAGTAGACAGGCTTTCGTCCGGTGAAGGGATTCACCACTAGAGGAAGTAGGATGGTGGTAAGTTGTAAAAGCAGGAGTTTCTGAAATCACGTGCTATTCTTCGTCGTTCGGAATTACGGGCTGTTCTCTCGTACAAGGAGTGGTGCGGGCTGAACGAGTCAACGCTGCCTCTGCGGGTCGACAAGCCGTGATAGACCATAGATCTCTCGGGTAGGATTCCCCATACTCCCTCCATCCCTGATTATCTCGCTGTGCCCCCCTGCCCTCCCCCGTCTGGTCAGGGCAACGGACCCGGTGGTAAGCGCGCTAATTCAGGGAGGCACCTCGAGCGTGTTAGGCATAGAAGGGACATCAGAGCCACGTGAAGTACACCGAAAGAGACCTGCCAACTCCACCGCCGGGGTCCCCCCGTCCGCTGGCGACGTCTCAACCGTCGCAATGGTTCTCACCGGCGCTGCTGGCACGGTGATGGCAAACATGCCGTGGGATCGGTCGGCCTTGCTGTAGATAGCGTTGGGTTCGACGGTAGCGGGGGCGGAGATGCCCCTACCTCCGTGACTGGGCTACGCAAGGACCAAGATATGCTTACGTTCGTTGCAAGCGCGTTTTGGTTGTTGGAAATGCGGTGTACGTTCGAGGATATACACGTTGAAAGTCTCGTCTGACATGTTCGGACGCTGATGTTGTTGACCAACCGATGGCGTCCGCTCTGAGAAAATATACTTCAGGAGGAAGTCGAGGTGGACGGGTCGCTCTGGTTTCACATTCAATGAGAATCGGATTAGCGTACACGGCGTGTTTCACCGATGT